GCTCGCGCCGCGTGCAATTGAAATTGGTTGTTGTGGTTATTGTGGTTGTTGTTAATGTCGTTGTTGTTGGTGGTTGTGGTGGTTGTGGGGGTTGTGGTGGTTGTTGTGGTTGTTGTGGTTGTGTTGGTTGTTGTTGGTTGTTGTTGGTGTTGGTGTTGGTGTTCGCGTTGGTGTTGTTGTTGTTGTGGTTGTTGTGGTTATTGTGGTTGTTGTTAATGTCGATGTTGTTGGTGGTTGTGGTGGTTGTTGTGGTTGTTGTGGTTGTGTTGGTTGTTGTTGGTGTTGGTTGTTGGTTGTTGGTTGTTGGTTGTTGTTGTTGTTGTTGGTGGTGGTGTTCGTGTTGGTGTTGGTGTTGTTGTTGTTGTAGCATGAGTATCAGTCATTGTTGCTCCGCGGGAGGTTTGGCAACATTTGGCACTTTCCGTCAGCATCGGACTTCTTCGGCCTCGCTGTGTCGTCGGTTCCTGAAGAAAGCCGCCATTGTTTCGCTGGGACTGAATCGTGGTGTTTCGCCGTGTATGCTTCGGGAAGAATTCATTACTCCTGGTGCTTCAAATCTTGCCGTTGTGTTTGCATAACACCGTGCCTTCCCGTTGCTTTCTTCGGTGTGTGTGTGTGTTCATACGATCTGTGCGATCCTTTGATTCCTTGCCTGGGGTCGGGAGGGCTTGGTCCGCCGTTCCTTTGGCATCTTTGGGCGGGTCGTTCTCCTGGTCGGTGCGAAACGTATAGTCTGGTGTAGGTGCTAGCTGCTAAGACGATTAGAAACAAAATGAGATTCTCATGACTCCCATGGTATTGTGATGTATTGTGAAGAGCGACTCGGCAAGAGCGCAATCATAACCACGACGAATGGGGGACTTTGATTCTGTGGCTTGCAACGAGGACTCGCGTCACTGGTCGAGCGAAAGCAGCAGCTGAGAACTCTGACAAGGCCAGCAGAGCGCAGTGTTTTCGGGCACAGTTTGTTGTCGTATGGTGCACCAGTTCTCACACTTGTGTCGTGGAGTGGGCATTGTAGACTTGAATCTCTGGTGTCGCTATAGGCCCTGAAGGAACTTCTTGCAGCAGGGCGCATCGGCTTTCGGTCTGGAACGTCTGAGGGCTGAGTTTGTTCCCTCCTGTCGATCTACAGCCTGGAAATGCAGCTCTTTCCGCTTCTCCAGGCCGAGATCAAGGCAAGGAGGCTCTCAGGGCGTGCTTTGCAGGTTGAGATTGGAAAGGTTCGAACTCCAGACCCTGGAAAAAAAAACGAGACCCTTGCGCCGGCCGAACTGCAGTCAATCTGCGCGGACATAGAGAACGGGACCTCTGCCTAGATTATATGATTCCATCGCGGAGCTTTCGGTGAAAGCTCGTAAGCCTCGCAGGCACCAACTTTGACCACCTGAGCCCAGGGGTTTTGTGTATAGTTCCTTGCAATCCGTGTACGCAGCATTCGGCTTGTGTGATTCGGGATGCTTTGATCGGAGCACATGACGCCACGTTGTGTGAAGTAGGTCCTTTCATAATGGTACAGCTGCAGTGTTGAAATCTTGTCTCGAACTGACGAGACTACCAGCCCGAACCTTTGCCACCTCACGAATCGCATCCATGCCTCCGTTCGTCCTTCCGTCCATCCGTCCGTCCGTCCGTCCGTCCATCCATCCGTCTTGCGGTAGAGAAGAAATCGCGCTCCCGTCTTGCCACATACAATTTCCACAGTGCTTCAGCACGATGGGACCCCGTCGCATCTGACGTATAGCGCTGTTTAACAGCCACCTTGCAGCACAAAGTAATGTGACACAGGCCCTGAACTGTACCTGCGCAGCATTGCGCAGCCCAAATATAACCCTTTGATGAACCACCCTATATAATCCCTTCTAGAAACACTTTTACAAACTTCTGTAAACCTTTCAGCAGCTTCTCTATAAGCGGCTCCATGAGCCCATCAACAAGCTCTCCCATAAGCCCTTCCATAAACCCTCGCCGGATTCAGTAAGGGAAACGCCCAAAAAGTTTCCCCACGTAGGGGCGGGATTCAGAATCGTCTCTGGACGACACTGCAACCGCCCAAGCAGAACAGCAGAACTCAGGCATTTCGAGCTAAAATCAACACGGAACCACCTGAACAGCACCCAGACACTGGCAGCACCAAGTTGTCGTTCGAAATTAACGCGAGACCAATGTGTTTGAATTTAGGGTGGTCCACCGAGACTGAAAGGATTGTCATTTCGAGCACGAGTCGTCAAGCACCACGCACAGTGCCATTCGACATAAAGAACATGAAGGTTTGAGCAGCAACCTCTCGAAGACCCCACATCTGGCACGCAACCTTATGGCAGAGGGACAGCCTGGCATCAACATACATCGCACATCATGCGCGGAAAAACCTTAGCCACGCTTTCGGCAATGAAACTCCCCNNCACCCCCCCCCCCCCCCCCCGCCCTGACCATCTGAAAACTGTTTCCGAACGACACTATTCAAATTCAGAGTCTTTGCTCGAGTTGAAAATTCCTTCTGCAGTCTTGCGATGGTCGCAAGCGGCTTGCGGCTAGCGTTTGCCTCCCTCTGATCATCTAATGCTGAGCATCTTAATGAAGCTTATATAGAACTTTTCCGGAGACCAGAAAGCTTTCTTCGCTCGCCAGGCAGCGAGAGCCGGAGCCTTTAGGTCACTCAAAGGATCGGAGCAGACACTTTGCTGCGCACTGCGAGGCAGTTCTAGCTGTTTCAATGTTGCGAGATGTGTGGCTTTGCCGCTTGCGGGGGTCAAGAAGGCTCTGAGATATGAAGAAGAAGCTCGAACGTGAAGTTTTTGGTGTAAAAAACCCGGGACAGAAGGCACAGAGTGTTGGCCCTGAAAGGTACGGGTTTGGGCTTGGGACTGCAGGCATTAAGGACCGAGGCAAACATGTGGACGTTCGCTGCTTGCTGTCTTCTGAGGATACAAGAAAAAGCCCAGGAGAAGGAGAAATGACTTCCAGTGAACCGCAGCCCGACTGATGCCCACCACCCCGTTTCACGCAAGTGTACGCTGGCATCAACGAGTGCAGCAGCGCGGAAAATACTGGCAGTGTGCGCTTGCCTGCCTGCCTGCCTGCGTGCTTTCTTGGCTGCTTGCGTGCTTGCGTGCTTGGTGACTGGATGGCATACTTACACACTGTGGGTCGTTGCCACTGCTGCTGCATTGGGGTCTCAGCTTCTTCCACTGCCAGCGGGCTTTGGAGTCGCACTTCCAGGTGAAATCCTGTTCTGACTGCTTCTATAGTATTGTGCGCTTGGAAGCCTGAGCTGGGGCAAGCAGCAAGCTGAGTGCTCTGAATGCTTGCTCCCTACTTGCGGCCCTCTCCTCTACGCAGAATCATGTTCAGAAGATCTTCCGAACCTACAAGGATCTCCCTCCCAGACATGTTC